AATGAGTTTTCCTTTAAATAAGATTTATAGTGTAATCCTAAGTTATATGAAAAGAGATGTATAAGGAGATTTATTGATATGATATGATACATTGAATGACAGAAAGTGATGACTTCTTACATAAAAGCCACCTAACTGATGACTTGTGACATGTGATATGAAACTTATTTATATAAATAGGACTAATATGATTGAAATTGATTTATGTAGGTTTGGCCTATAGGACTATATACAAGAAAAACACCATATGTGTTTGGATGTCTAATCTTGGATATATTATTTATACATGCATATGATATTAACATATTGAATACGTTACATAAATGACATGATATGATATGACATGCATATGCTATAAGACATGATTGATACAAGCAAGTGATATGATTTATGAGATGGATTCATAGGCATATAATTTATTAGAACTATGTGATATACATGATACATACTAAATATAATATTAATATCATAAGACATACATGCACATATGACTTTAAAGGCAAGACTGATATGATAGATAAGACTGATAAAAGGAATAATATATTTGATAAAAAAATATGATATACATGCATTGCATAAATATTATACGACATGTATATAATAAAGGCAAGTGTATTGATCTCATAAAGCATTATATAAGCTTTTTATAACAAATGGGTATATAAATGATACCTACTAATCCATTGCATGGTTACGAATCACTACTTATAATATGTACAATTATACTGATTTTATTACTCATATGATATAACATTGTTCATATTGATTGCTACCCACTTTTACTGTTATATGTTAATGTTGATGTTGATTTAATGATTTCATGAATATTATTTTTAATATAACACCTTTAGATTTGATATTCAAATCAATCTATTTTGACCTGATCTGAAAAAAGGTAAATTTATTAAATTTTGACATTTGAACCCTTCTACATATAGTTGAGAATATTTTTTGTGTAGGTGAAAGTATGCATGTGTTCTAACGCGGGTCCAAGGGGCTTGTTTGCACACTTAAAAAATCTAATTTTTTTTCCTTGGGCTACAACACTAGGTTGATGGTGCTTCAGCACCAATGCTCTTAAATTATTCGCAAAATAATCCAGTGAGGTGGCGTTGTGGGCTCTCTAAAGGAGTGTCTTGGCGAGTGCTACATGACTCCATTGTATTAGGCTGAATTTTATTATTTTAAATATCCAAATCTACTATTCCATCTCATTCGATCCATTAGGTAACCTACACTAGAGAGATAGAGAATGAATTCTAGAGAGAGAAAGTTTGTTAGAGGCTACTTCAGATCATTTTTTACTTTCCGCCTAATTCTAGAAGTTGCTCTGATCAAGGTAGGTGATATTTTGCCTATCTCAGTTTTAAAAAATATAAAAAATTTTGAATTTTGTATTTAAATTATATTTTTGTTAAACAAAAATAAGGATAATTTTCCACCTACAAAACTTTCGCCGTGTAACTTTTTGTTTGTTGTAGAGACAATAGTTTTGGATAGTTTTGGCATTTTTTGAAGAATTTTACATTAGAAATTTTGAAATGTGCGCCTTTTTAATTTTCTGGAAAATAATCCCAAACTCAAAAAATATTATTGTAGTACAATTAAAGTTTTAAAATAGACTTATGTATAATCCTTAGTAATTTTGTAAAATTTGAAATAATATATTTTTTGCTCAATAGGGTTTTTGTGCCTATCATTATAACACTTTGAGAAATTATGGAATATATTCACTTTTGATTTACTTATTGCTAGAAATGAATTACAAGCTTTGTTGTTTAAAATGAGAAATTATGAGTAAGTGTATTGGAGGAAGAGAAAGCATGTTTTGGTTGAGAAAAGTCATGTTCTTGTGCCTATAAGCATATTTTTGTGCTATAAGCACATTCTATTTTGATGATGAGCATTTGGAGTTATATGAAGAAATTTGTTATATATTGCTCTAAGATATGAAGTGCTTGTTTATCTACTATTATGCAATAAAATTTAAAGTTTTATAATTGAAACTACGACCCTATCTAGTGCATTTATATCTTGAAATAATTTTATAATTTTAGCTACTAACTGCAATAAATAAGTTATTTGAAAATTCAGATTGATTTAAATATGACCTACTGATCTATGTTAGCTCACTGTTATTTTACCTTCTATTTTTAAGGTTTGATAGGGGAAAGGGCCAGTCGAGTAGTAGTGTCAGGATCTGATTTGAGTATGTAGATGTATTCCTTTTTTCTAATTTTTGTACAGTCATGACTAGTTTTTATTACTTTATTATGTAGCTCAGTTTATAATCATGTATTGTATAGTTATATACACATTTTGATTATTAATGAAAAAAAAATTTTGTGGATGAGTTATTTTTTAGTAATAGATATTGATAGTAGCTATGTGGTTTATTGTTGTTTTAAAAGTTAAAATATGGATAAAATTCTTTTAAAAAAATTTCAAAACTTTGATCTTGGGGTTTGCTTATTGCAAGCCAACATAATAGGACATATTCAGTCTATGGGTCTTATCATGTTGGGTTGTAACATGCTTTTTTGGTATCAGAGCATTAGTTTTAAAAATTGATCGTGAAGTAGAGCTATAAGAATTGATTTGTAGGTTAAGTGAGGTGGTTTTTAGTCTATCTGTGAATTCATTTCTTCTTGTTTTCATGTGTATGTATGTTTAGTTGGATATTTTATGTGATAATGGATCCGCTAGACCTAAATATGAGAAATAGATAAAGTTCAAGTCGGGAAACACCCTTACGTACCTAGTATTGCTCCGATAGTTAGCTTTAATAAAATATCACTTTTTACTAGTTTGATAGCTTAGATGATGGGTAAGGCATAAAGCAGAGTTCATATTATTAGACCTGATGAAGCACACCTACATCTACAAATATTTTTGAGCCTAAAGTGTCACACCCCAATATCTAAATTGGAAGAATGGTCTATTTTTTTCTTTTTAATCATTTACCAGATTTTCTATAAATTCAATATAAATCAATTTTTCTCGCAAAAGCCATTGAATATCATATACAACAAAATATTTCACTATATTTTATTCACAAAAATCACATTTACAATAGCTAGGAGATTAATAACAATTAATAAGTCTATTAATGGCTCATGAATACAAAAAGATAAAACAAAAAAAGAGGAACTTGAATATCTCAATCCACCTCAGTGCACAAAATCTTGGCCTCTTCTGCAACACCCCAAGACCCAAAGGAAGAATTTAAACCCACTTTCCTATATTTCTAAGACTTATTTTTTCCAACTAAATATACACAAAGTCAAGTGGTCATCAAGAATATATAAAATAACATTCAGAGTGCACAACCATAACTTTTCTTTCCAAAAGAATTAGTTACAATAGTCAAGATTACATTGTTTCCAATAAAACTTAATTAAATATGAACTACAAAATTATAAACAAAATTTTAGATACTTGTTAAAGTATGTGCTTCTTGCTCTCTATCTAATCGACCAACTCAGCAGGACCTTTTCCTTTTTTTTTGAAACATAATAAACATTAAAAAGAATATAAACTCATTAGGCCAACACCAAATTCTCCATAACAAAATTTTAATTTATAACAAAATGAATTTGAAACATAATCATTAAAGTATTGCTTAACACTTAAGTTCTACTTATATTAATGCACACATGAATATAGAATGCACTTGTAGTTATGCCTCTTATAACTCACAATCTTCTGCCTCCCACCTATTCAAGAATGGTGCAAAGTAGAATTAGAATAGAACATAATTTCTAATACAGAACTAATTCAGAGTCATAATAGAATAATCTAGTATATAACATTTCTACATTGCGCCCAAACAGATAGTTTCAAAATTCCTTTCTTTTCAATTCAAAAAATCTATAATATCATAAAATGCATAATAATATAAATGCAATGCACAATTACAACATTTTAAAGTAAATAGTATCATATACCAACTTGTATAGAAAAGCCTCACATTTCAATTACTAACTCAAAGTATTCAGAAATTTATCAAATTCATAGATATTGTGTATAACACTAAATTAACATTCTTTATCAATTGTATTGCATTTCAGATAGGCTTCCATATTCTAGAATAAATAAAAATTCATACATAATAAGTTGATCAGTGAAATTATGCATTCTTATAATCAAATTATCTAGAACAGAGAATAAAATAATATATAAAAAGTTATGCAGTGAAACCTTTTTAAAACTTAAGAGAAACACCTTTAACAACATATCTTTTGTTATATACTTTAGAGTTTAAATTGGAAGTAGGGTATTGGTGGCCTACTTCGAGCCCGACAATTTTCTTAACTAACCATATGGACAAAAATAAGATTTCAGACTCTAAATCCTCTCTCTTTTTTCTTCTCTTTTCTTCTTTATTTTCTTCTTTCTTCCCCGACAAGCTGGTTAGGCTAAAGGCCATCTGGGCTTAGGTTAGTGACTTTAGATATTTACTATTTTAAAAAGTATTAATTCGGCCTAATACCACAATGCCACCACTTCTGATACCGCAACGCCACTAACAATACTCTCAAACTCTCCCAAACTTCCTAGACTCCATCCCCAACACTGTTGCAACAACACCAGACCACCACACTTTCCTCTAAACTCATTTTTTTCCTAATTTTCTTGAGACTACAATCTCATAGAGCCAAACTAGGTGCCACAGTATAAAATATAAGAAAATTGACATAAAAATATTGAATGTATTACCAAAATTTATGCTCCATCAAATAAATTTCCCTCAAACAAAATAAATAAAATGTAATTCAACAAATATTGTGACTTTGAATGAACACATTAAATAATAAATAATATCTTATAAAATATAATATCGAATTATTTTAATTCAATGCCAACTGTTTATGATGCTTTCAATGATGGATATGTTAAGACCACATAAAAGAATATTAATTATATAATGTTGATTAATTCTATATATACATTGATAGGAAGGCATAGAAAGATTATATCATATTATCATGTAGCTTTGATGCAGTAGCCCTTACAAAAGAGAAAGGAGAACCCAAGCCAAGCTATTTGAATCCTCCCATGGTCTCATGGTCGACTATCGAGGCTCAGCCCTCTGCATGACTCATGTCATAAACATTGCATTATCTCACCTCTATTCTCTCTCTCTCCCTCTCCCTCTCCCACTTTCGCTCGCTCGCGCTCTCTCTCTCTTTCTCTTGCATGTTTTATTGCGAACAACCTTGTTACCACCCACTCTCTCTATCAATCTTCGTATCTGTCTCAGTTTTTGACTTATCTGATCTCATATTTGTTGTCAGTTATGAAAGATTGCATCTTGGGCTGATTAGTTCATCTAAACTCTTTCCTTGGTTTTGCGATTCTTCTCTTTGATCTATATCGGTGGTGGCCAGCGGTGGAGACACGATCATGGGGCCCGTTAGAGGGTTCAAGAAGAGGAGGAGGGCTGAGAAGAAGGTTGAAACTACGGCGCCGACGGTCATGGGCGAGTACTCACGCGATTGGTGGGATGACTTCTCGAGAAGGATTACAGGTTTCCTTACTGCTGCTTTTCTTGTTGTTTTGCTCTTTGGGTTTTCTTTAATGAGGTTGTTGTTACTGTTCTCCTGCTTATCTCTGATCAATGGGACCCAGTTGGGCTCGTTTCTATGGATTCAAGCTTGTGGAGTTGTTGGATTTCGTGATTGTTGATGAGATATCTGATTTTTTCGATACAATTTATGTTTAACCGCATTTGAGTGTGAATTGGAATTGTATTGTGAGTTGATTGAGGTTGGAGTGCTGATAATATACAATGGTGCCTGCAACAGCAAACTGTGAAGCTGCTGCTTTGGCCGAGTGTTTGCTGGCGACTATTAGGTTGACATTTGATAAATTGCGTTGACTTAGATGATGTGATTAAGGATTTTGAGTTGGTCGGGAGTTCTAGGCTTCTCGTTTGTTGTTTTTGTTGTTCATTCTGCTCCCTTGTGGCTTTGCCATCATTGTGTTGGTAGCTTATGCTTATATGTCAGTGTCTAGATTTGACATTAGAGTTTCTGTCTAGATCTTGACTTAATTTGGAACTGAAATTGATAGAAATGAAGAGATCCTCTCAGTATATTGAACCTCTTTGAAGAGTGTTATGGAGTGTGCATAAAAAATTATCTATTTGATGTGAGATTGAACCCAAAACTCTCACACGTCTTGACAAATCTCACCCTTACATGAGAGCTCTCAATATCAACCATCACTCACCGTCAAAAGCAATGTTTTCAATTTCATCAACTATTATGCACTATGACCTCCCAAGCTAAATTACATGGAGTCATCATTTGAGTCCTCCACTCTTGAACCTCCCTCAACCATGGTGTAAAGCACGGAAGACTAATTAAACCACTCGGTCGATCGAATCTTTAACTCCGACACCGCTTATTTGGGAATGTGGGTTAAGGGGGAGTAAAATTGGGCTTGATAACCCAATTGTCAAATATATTTTCAACTAAAGTAGTTTAAAAATATGGTAAGGGCCATCACTAGTACATTTACATCTAGATAAATTTCGCCTTAAATGTGGGACTAAATATGACACTCTCATATGCCTTAACACGGAGTTTGCCTCCTCGGATTGATCACTTAGAAGTTAACATAACTCCAATAAATGGTCGACGGGCAATGATTAGTAGACCCAAGTTAGCATTGGTTTACAAAAAGCAAGATTAGATAAGGGAAATTACTTTTTAAATGTCCTGCTCCTAACTTAAAGAAAATAGATAAAGAAAGTCAATCTAGTCAACTAAAAATGCATAAGTAAATTTTATAATTCCTGCACTTCTTTCATATTCAACAGAATAATTTGGATACGAGTTTCTACCATAAACGATTATCATTTATTCCTTTCAGTTGAAAATATCGTATTTTTCAGAAATTTTAGTTGTCCTACCTTTGTAGTTTTAGGCAGAGCTTTTGTTAGCAAAATTAATTAGCTTAAGAACCATAACTTCGATTATGGACATGAGCTAGTAGCAGTATTATCTTGTCTTATCATCCTAGATGAATTCTCGTGACCTTCTGTGTTGAATAAACCTTTCGGCAGTGTCATTCATTGTATGTTACTGATTAGTCTTTCTTAAGGATGCTAGCCTAGTTCCTCATATACTTATTTAATAACCAACCTCAACATTTAGCGATGCTTTCATTACGTTCTTACTTGGTTAGAAAATATTAGAAATGATCTTTCTTTATTATATTTAAATAAGAATTTGACTTTTAACCAGACACAATGGCGAAAAAGGATTGATGTAGCCGACCCCACGTAGTGGGACAAAGGCTTAATGTTGTTGTTGTACATATACCTTCTTTGCATCTTGTGATGTACTCTGAACTATCATCCCTTCTCTGTCAATGTTTCATGGAAATAAAACCATTAAAACCTCAACCCATTGATTATGTAAAAAAAATACGCAGTTGGATTACATCACGGATCAGCCTTAAGCACATATCTTTTTTGCTTTATCATGAATGTTCTCACTAGACATTTGCAAGAGGTTGTACCCTGGTATATGCTTTTCCCTGATGATATTCTTCTTGTTGATAAGATTAGAGAGGGGTTTAAAGGTAAACTTGAATTATGGAGGTCAACCCTAGAGTCTAAAGGCTTACATTTGAGTAGATCTAAAACTGAATATATGGAGTGTAATTTTAGTAATAATAGATCTAGTGGGGGATTGCGACTTTGGGCAATCAAGTCATTAATAAGAGCACTTGTTTTAGATAACTTGGGTCTATTGTTCATAGTGATGGTGATATAGATGGGGATATCATTAGTAGAATTCAAATTGGATGGTTGAAGTAGAGGAATGCATCGGGCTTGTTGTGTGATAGAAAAGTCCCTCTCAAACTTAAGGGAAATTCTATAAGATGGTAGTGAGACCTGCAATGCTTTATGGTGTAGAATTTTGTCCATTAAAAGAGAAGCATAATATTAAGTTAAGTGTTATTGAGATGAGGATGCTCAGGTGGATGAGTGGCTTTACTCTTAAAGACAGGATACGAAATGAGCATATACGTAAAAAGGTTGGAGTAGCTCCAGTGGAAGATAAGATTAGAGAGAGTCACCTTAGATGGTTTGGCCACATAAAACGGCGACCTTCCGATGACCTGGTTAGGAAAGTAGATGCATTAGATTTTACTTATGTTAAGAAAGGTAGAGGAAGCCCTAAAAAACTTGGTTAGAAAATATTAGAAATAACCTTTCTTTTTTAGATTTAGATGATAATTTGGCTCTTAATAGAACGCAATGGAAAAAAGGATTCATGTAGCCGACCCCACAAAGTGGGATAAAGGCTTGTTGTTGTTGTTGTATACTGAAAAAATAAACAGTTTGTTCTATGACAAAAGAAAAAGCATCATGAACTTAGACATCTTGTTAAGCTCCAATATTCTCTTGTGCGCATAGATGGCATATTGGAATAATCTTGATCAATGTGCCCTGCGGGAATAGCTTTTTTGTTAGTAGTTTACACTTCACCTTGATTTATCATCTTAAATTTTGCTAATTAGCTCCATCTTTTATCTTTATGTGCTTGGTTGTCGCCTGAGATACTCTATTGTTGGTCTAGCAACTATGTAAAAGAAAGAATGCATTGCTTTCTTAACTAATATGATGATTATTTTATCCTGATTTCATAGCATTGTTTTTTCAAACTAAGCTAGTGCGCGCTTTCTCTCTTGTCATGGGTTGCTTGTTGTGAGGATTTTGTATTGACACACATTTTGGAAATATCTTTAACAAGTGAACTGCAAGATCTTTTATTCTGTATAACTGTTAATCAGGTAAGTTTGGCTTCATAACTGTTAAAGATTCAAACACAAGAATCAATAACCTCAACTTACAGACAGCCCCTCCCAAAAAGGATATTTTCTTGATCGTCATTTATTTGAGTAATTTGAGGACCTTAACTTGATTTATATCACAAAAAGAATTAAATAAACTAATTTCAACTTCCACTTGCATTACTTGAAAGGGATATCAAGTCAATAAATAGTACCTAGTTCATGTTGAACTCTCTGAGTAGATATGGTACGATGCAATTGTTGACGCCGAGTTCTTTTTGCTTCTCAGTTGGGTGCGTCTGTCTTGAAGCCTAGAAACTTTTAATGGCCCTTAGCAGAAACTTCAATTATGGAAAACTAATAATTTTGATTACACCTCTAATTGCTCTTTCTTCTGCTCCACGTTTAACAAAAGCTTTTGATTGTTTTTTCTGTTAGCTGAAGCTATTGTTCAGTGCTTGACCATTTGGACTCCAATGAAGTCTCTCTCAATACCTTAAATCTATGCAATGATGTCCTTAGTTTTTTATATCAATCTCATATGCAGCATCATCTATTCATTCTATATTGTTGGTGTTTGAATAGTACTTGTCACCACGTAGTGCTTGGTATTGACTTTTAATGCAAAATGACTACAAACACCTAAAATTTACTTCATTAATTCCTTTTTATCAGAAGCTTCTTTTTGTTTACTTCAATTTTGTTTTAGTGGCAATTTGTTTTGCTAAAACATAAATTTAGAGTAAAATGAAATACAATGGAAAGACAAGCAATACATTTGAAATGTTTAATGTTATTTGAATGAGTATAAAATGAATACATATGATTATTTTTTGTGTTTAGTTTGAAGTAAGATGAATGTAGTTTAAACCCCAATGACTATTGTGGTTGATGGTGGGTTGAAACGACGACCTCCGACGACAGACAGTGTTGGCGGAGATGGCTAGCAATGAGTGGGCAGCGCCAGTAGTTGGTGGTGGCTGGTGGCAGTTGGCGATCACTGGAGGGCGGCGAGCAGAGAGCGGCGAGCAGAGACATCAAACAAAAAACTTTACTCTTGTGGTGCATTTGGAATTTGCCCAAAATAAGACGAATTTTGAATACATTGAAATGAATTAAAGAGCGCATTTAAATACTTCAAAATTTTGCTCTTCATTCCTCTTGCTTCCAACCAAATACCAATATTTTCAAAATTTTGGCATTTGAAATAGTTAACTCTTTTAAACCAAATAGCCCCTTAGGCTCATCCATATTCAACCATTTGATGGCTAACATATGAACCCAAACTAGTTCAATAAAAAACACACTGCACAACGATTTACAAATTTGGCCCAAATTGGCCTATGTCCATGCTTAAGTACCCACATGATTAGGATTCCACCACCAATCACTCGTTCACCTGCAAGCTTGTGGAGAAGCTGTCACACCGTTTTTTAGTTCAAGGGTAAGAACACGCTCGCCTAGCTTACGAACAAGGGAATCCATTTAAATCTCTTTCAAGAGTCTTAACAAAAGAAAACTAGGAGAGAAAAATAAATTGTAGAAAAAGGACATCTTACACAAGCACGTTTTCTAGTATGAAGATTGAAAAATTGTAAATCGGGTTTAGATTGGAGAGATTTTAAACTCAACGCATTGGTTTACGTGAGAAAGTTTAAGGTTTGCAATGGAATGGAAGTAGGGCTGTAAACGAACTGAGCCAAGCATCTTCTTATTCAT